TGTGCTGCCTGCTTTCTGACAGTTCACTTTCACTAGGGACTCGGGGCTGTCTGAAGCCACACTTTAAGGAATAGTGTGATGGCTGGTAGTCCAGAAACAGCTGACACTGCGTGGTGGAAAGAAGCTGTGTAGTTAAAGCAGAGTTTCGCAATTAAGTTCCTGAACACCTTCTGAAATGACATTTTTTGTTTGGAGAATAATCATAGTAAAAAGCCAGTTATGCTCATACAGTTCATTTAGGTTATGAGGGTTTTGTACCTCTGCACTGCACTCCGTGGCCTGCAGTTGGAAGTACTTCTGCCTCAGCTGCCGTGCCAGGCGTGGGCTGGCTGCAGTGTTCCATCTTCTGTGTGGGTTCACAGAATCATAGAGCATCCCGAGTTGGAAGGGACCCACAGGAGTCATTAAGTCCAACCCCAGCTCCACACAGGACCACCCAAGTCAAACCCTGTGTCTGAGAGCGCTTCCAAACGCTCCCTGAGCTCCAGCACTGGGGCCGTGCCCACAGCCCTGGGCAGCTGTTCCGTGCCCACCGCCCTCTGGCGCAGCCCCTTTCCCTCACCCCCAGCCGCCCTCCCCTGACGCAGCTCCATGCCGTTCCCTGTCGCTGTCACACAGCAGAGCTCAGCGCTGCCCTCCGCTCCCTGTGAGGAGCTGCGGCCGCCATCAGGCCTCCCCTCAGCCTGCTCTGGTCTGAGCACACCAGGAGCCTCATCTGCTCCTTACTTATCTTTCCTTTCTGACCCTTCGCATCTTTGTTGCCCTCTTTTGGAGTCTCTCTAGTAGTTTTATGTCCTGAAATGAAATAAGCTAGCTTGGAGCAGAAGCAGCAGCTATGTGTGGTGTCAAGTCGAATCCACTGCAGCCCTCACAACCATCTGCACTGTCCTGAGACCCAAGATGATTCCCTGTATGTGTCAGCTATAGCTGAGCACGGGTCATGGACTTGACAGAACTGGAGTGTTTGTTAGATCCCTTAATCAGCTGGATGCTTTTGGAAGAGATCAAAGAAGTCATTTTGTTAACCAGAGATCCACTGTGAGAAGCCCTCTGTACCCACACAAGCACTAAGTGTTAACAATGGAGAAGAAATTAAAGTCGTACTGTTTCAGCACAGTGGAATTGTAGCAGAAATAATAAATGCATGTACTGATGTGCATTGGCATTTACATGTGGTTGGCTTCATTGAAATTGCTGGATTTAATGCAGTAGTATTTATGTGTCTCTATTCTTGAAATGAAATTTTGTTGTTGAAAATGTTTGATTACATTTAAAAAGAAAAAAAGAAGCAAACATAATTTTGATCCTAAAATAATTCTAAAATAAAAGTAACAGTGATGTTTGCTTTTTAATCTAACAGCAATGATAACTTCAGATTTTAAAGGCGTTTATTTTGTCAGCTTCCTGGTGTTTCACATAATCCATCTTTCATTATAAAAATAAAAGTAATTTTAAAAAAGCAACCTTGAGCAGATTGCCACAAGGTAACATTTACTTTTTAGAACTAAGGGGAGTTTAACGTCATTCTGCTCTTTGTTTCACCACTGCATCTACTGCAGTGAATTTATCTGCCTGTTCTGCTGTTTGATTAGTTAAGCCCACTTATTCAACACTGGATAGGAGGCAGTTTAAAGGGCAAACATCCAGATGCATTCAGTTGAATTAAAATTATACTGAATGTATTTGTCAAACTATAAGTTATATGGCTTACACCTGAGAAGTCATCACTTTCCTGATGTTGTTACAGTATAATTATGAACTTCATGTTTCTGATGCCAACTATAGCAAGCTAAAGTTCTTAATTGTTATTAAACAAATTTGAATAGTATTAGTATTGTGACAGATAGTCAGGCAAAGTTTTACGTCATCATGATGTTCTGTTTGTGTATATGGCCACTGATGTTGCTGCCTTCACCCTGGACATAAACTTCTACATATTCCTTACACACATTCAGACTGAGATCTGTAACATTCCTCCACCAGTCTTTTCCTCTAAGCTTCCATGTTCACATTGTTTGCCCAGGTTTTCCTTCTCATGCAATAAAATCGTGCTAGCATGGTTAGAGAGAAGGAAGGTCAACTTTTTTTTGCGGCAGTGTGTCTCTCCCTTCATCTTCTGAACTTTCTACACAGACAGTGAAAACAAATGATTGTAACTGCACTCCAGAACTCCTGTCCTCTCTGCTCATAAAGGCAGCGTGCATTAACCTAGTACATGTCTATAAGTCCCTGAAGGCAGAGTGCAAAGTGGATGGAGCTGGGCTCTGCTGAGTGGTAACCAGTGCCAAGACAGGAGGCGGTGGGCACAAACTGGTACACAGGAGGTTTCCTCTGAACACCGGGAGCACTTCTGTGTTGTGCAGGTGATGGAGCCCTGGCATTGGCTGCCCAGAAGCTGTGCACTCTCCTCCTTGTGGTTCTTCCAGAGCTGCCTGAATGTGGCCCTGGGCACCCCTCTCTGGGGGTCCCTTCTGGAGCCAATGGACTCAGAGGTCCCTGCCAGCCTCAGCCATACTGTGGTTCTGTAGGGAGCAGTAGCATGTGAGCAGCTTGACTCTGCTTTAGCTCTAGCTCAGATCTTGATGCTAAGCCAGAGGGGTTAGGATGCTTTTAACAAATGCTGAGATCCTCATACAGAGACAGGACTTCAAAAGTATTGCAAAAGGTTTTTAAAAAATAGTTGATAGAGCTGATGCTCTATCAACCTGTACCAGCCCGATAGAGCTGATGCTCTATCAACCTGTAGGGCTGATGTTCTGTCAACCTGTAAGATTTGCTTACGTCAGTTATCCTGGTATTTGAAGATGACTTTAATAGGAAATAGCCCTTGTTCCCAAGTCTGGCTTGCAGATCAGGGATGCAAACTTCTTGAATGGAGCTTGGTGAATTTGTCATCATGCGTTACCATTCCGATGCAATACATATTTTTCTGGATACAAGGCACTGTTTGTTAATATGTTAACTTGTACCGGTCTATTTTGGATAAAATTTTCAGTTACTGAAATTCAGTGCTTTGACATCAGTTATGAAGTTGAGCTTTAAACAGCATTCAGACAAATACTGCAAGACTTCATGCACTTGAGAGTCCAGATGGTCTGAAGGTATTGTAGGGTTTGCCATTACATCGTCTGAACCGTTTTATTTTGTGTTTGTGCAGAAAAATTGTTCCTCATTCCATCATTTCAGGTAAAGGACAGCTGTGAAGCAGTTTTCCACTTTTAAATTTCCCACAGGGCAAAAATTGCTGATTTTATTTTGAAAAGATGATGATTTTTGTAAGAATCCTGCATGTTAATAACCTACAACTATGAACTATTCATTTGATATCTGCAATGTGTTGGATCTTGTTAACAAGGTGATTATGGAATCATTTGTCTCCCAAAGTTTTAACAAGAACAAACCACAAGTTGTCAGTACATTAGATACACTTTTTAAACATTTTTCTTGGATGTGCAGATCTGAATCACAGAGTAGCAACAATGCAGTGTGTGTTGTAGACCATCACGAGGTAATACATAAAGCAGTGATATCGATACAAAATATTCACATTGAAAGCAAACAAAACTTTGGCTTAAGATAGGTAGAAGCGTTCCTCATTCACTTTGCGTATTAGATTTTGACTGGATTTTGTGAACTTTTTTTTTGTTGTTTTACTTCTTTTTTTTTTTCCTAATTGTTCCCTCCCCACATCTTTGTGAAAAGTCTGGGCTGTAGGAAAGCTACCTCACTAAAACTGACTGTAAGAGGTGATTGTGTTGTTCTGTGAAACATTAAAAATATGTGCTTCATGGTAATGCAGAGGTGAAAGGAGTAGGGTTAAATGACAGGATGCAGCATTATATTTAGAACTGTAACTAAGTATGAATGTGATAACAATTTAGGATCTGGCTGTAGTTTTACCACTAGTACCCATTGCCTTGAGATCCCCAGATCACATGGTGCAGTTGGGGAGCACAGTGGGTAAAGGAAAAGGAAGCCTGATGATGCAGAGTTGAAATACCCCATTCTCTGAAGGCTCATTGTCCACAGAACCATTTCTTCACCTGTCTTCCAGTGGAATGGGCACTGGCCACAGCTTGAGGTCCACACTTGTGCTTTAGGATTGCTTCACATCTAAAGCTTCAGTTGTTTCTTCCAGGTCCTGAACCTTGTTATTTGCAGTCCTAACTTATAAATATCTCTGTTTCACTATGTCTCCATCCTCTCTTTCTGCCCGTGAGTGCTGTTACTACTCTTCAGAAGTTTTGCCAGTTTGTGTGAGTTCCATCGTGAGTTTCTCAATAGTTTGGTGGTGGTGGTTTGTTGTTTTTTGGTTTTTTTTGAGGAGGGGTTGAAAGTTTTTTCTTTGCTTTGCTAATTGGATCTTTGGGTTTGGTGACACCATCTCTGACGTTATGGTTAATGCTTTCATTGCTTTTCCCTTTCTTCTAATTTCTCAACAAGATATGCCCATTCTGCATATGCACATGCATATTCCATTCTCATGCACCATAACGCCTTTGTTCCTCCTTCTTAGGAGCTGTTCCACAGCTTAATACTCAACCTCAGGACTGAGTCCTGAACAGATGTGGTACACATCTAAACCTTCGGTGAACTGGTCATTAACCTGGCAAATATCATTCACAGTCTGGTTGGTTTTGTTTTTTGCTGAGTTAGTGAGCTGAATTTGGCCCCAGCAGTAGCAGGGCTGGCCAACATGGAGGTACAGGACTATATGGCCAGGAGCAGGGGAGTGGGAAGCAAGGGCAGCCTTTGGTGACAGCTAGCCATTAATTTGGCTCAGCTGTGTTGTTAAAGCATGCTCTCAGAAAAGCCAGAAATACTGTGAATGTCATATAAGAATGTCGTACATTAGAACTGTGCTGTAAAAGCTTTAATCTCTTCTTGTGGATACCCACACAATACTGAGGTTAATCAAGATGAGGTATAGCATTCTTTCTAATTACAGAGTTGATCTACAAATGCAGCTGTCTTTCTGCATGGATTTTTTTCTGTTTCAGAAGGAAGATGTTGCAAATGCAGAAATGGCTGAAAGACTGTCACTTCGGAAGAATCGCTTTATGCATTTTGCATCACTGGAGTATGAAGGAGAATATTACATGACACCACGAGATTTCTTGTTTTCAGTAATGTTTGATCAAGTGCAACGTAAGTTGTTTTCTCATCACTGTATTTGTGAAGGAAAAGGAACTTGAAAGTCCCCTTAAAAATGTAATGTACAAATCACTGGGACAGGGTCCCTTATCTGACATCAGTCATCAGAAGCCAATTTATAAATGTTGGGCATGTGGATTCTCACAGGCACCACCTTGTGTGCTAGTGACGTGCTGATCATCTCAAAATCTGGTGACTGAAGGATGGCATTTCGTCTCTGCATAATTTGCATGTCTGATCAGTGTGCAATTCCTCAATTACTTACTTGGTAAGACTGTAGTGTGACTGTGCTCATTCTATTCCTGTCCCTGTTATCTGTCTGCCCGCTTTACCAGAAAGTACTCTGTGACCTTTTTTTCTCCCAGTGATGGGAGAGATGTGAATATGTGTAATGAAGCATGGAGCTCAGCTCTAGGTTTCTGATTTCAAATCTCTTCTGGTTTATAGAAGACTTGGATAAGAACAAATCAAAACTGTTTGCAAATTAAAAAAAAAAAAAAAAAAAAAGTTTTAAAAGTGTGTTTTCTGAGGAGGAGCTTGGAGCACCACACAAATATAAAGTGCATACGTTATTGTCCTCGTGATTTCCTAATCTCATTAATCTGCCCTGTTCCTTAGGCTTTTTTATGCTGACATTTCCATATTAGCATGTATTTTTAAACAATATATGTTTTCACAAAAAGAAATTGGTTTTTATTGCTTCCCCAAGAAAATTTTACTTAAATGAGGTTCAGAAATGTTAAGTTCCCTAAGTATCAGGATCACTCAGAAGACCAGTGTCCATTAGTGCACCTGCAGAGGGAAAGAGGGAAAGAGGGGAAAAACCAAGCTCTAATTGTTGTTTGCTAGCTGTTGTCTGCACATCCTAACTGACCCGTGGAGCACGTTGTGTAGCAGAAGCTATTCACAGCCTGTGGTGCTCACTGCCCATCTAGCAGGGAGATCAGCATCACTTGAGGATATCGAGAAGGAAATACAGAAGGGAATTTAGAGCTCTGTGGAAAGACATAGAGAAAGAAGGAGGTTTGGACAGGCTGTTATTCGAGCCCATGGGAAACCTGGAGCAGAACAGAGTTTACAGAGCTTCAAGTGGTCCAAGAATAGAACACAAGAACCTGTAATAAAAAAGAGTTATCTTGTGTCTGCAAAAATCTATAGTTGATAAGGGTACCTGGCTTCCCTGCTGACATTCAATTTCTAATATTATACAAAGCTGAATATAAATCCTTAGAAGGACTATATGACCTTGAGAGACATGAAGATTCTCAAAATAGCCTATTTTTATAATATATGACAAATGGAAGGAGTGTTTTTTCCCTTCAAATTTTGTATCAGTAAGTTGAAAACCTAGAATGGATTTTCTTTGGAGTTTCCCAGCCTGAAAAGTGAAAGACGGTGGGTACTGAATTTTTCAGTGTTGAAGATGTGGCTTTCAAACAGTAGTCTGTGAAAGCAAGGTTAAAGAAAGAAGTGTTTTTCAGTCTTAGCACTTCATACATATTAATTGGTTATTCCAGCTAAAATGATATACGTGCAGATTTTTAATGAAATGCTATGTGGATAAGATTGATTTGCAATGCAGCTGAGTTAATTTCTGTTACTTTGCTAATGTAAAAGTGGGAAACAGCTTCAAATAGAACAGAAAAATGACAAGAAAAATACGTGAACAAAAGAATCTTTGCGCCAACACATACAGCATTTCAGTTAATGTTAAGGTTTACAACAATGGCATTGCAGATTATTGATAGAAAAATGTTAATATGTGAATCTAATGCTCCATACAGTATTTTGAATATTTTAAAGTCACTGCCTTGTTCATTTTCTTGCAGAGAATTTCCTGGGAGAAAAATAAACAGACGTAGCTCAAGCCTCTCTCCAGGTATATTAAAGGTAGATCAGGTTCACAGAGTCATGGAATCATTAAAGTTGGAAAATACCTCTAAGTCCATCTAGTCCAACAATCAACCCTTCACCACCATGCCCAGTAAATGGTGAACTTCGTACCAAAGCAGCAATTACTTCTGGAAACTTTTGGCTTATGTTATAAAATTAATTCCTTTTTTAATCTTGAACAGTGGTTTTAGAAAGGAAAATGGGCATGCCAACACTAATCCTAGAAATTTCTTCACTTACTGACAGTGAGATGCAAATTGAAAATGTGACCCTGCACACAAATGCTGAACTTAAAGCTCTAATGATTTTATGGTTTTCCACTTGCTTTCTATTAATCACTAATTAAAAAAATCTTATAAATTTTGATGCCCTCAAGCATTCATCCTCATAAATGTTTGCTTACAAATTACTTGAGTTTGCCAATTGGTTGTGATATGTAATACAGAAGGCCTAGCTCCATCCAAGGTCTGTTCTCAAGTTTTGTTTCTGCTGTCTTTCTTGCAGACTGTAGCCCAGAACATATGATCAGTCCCATTAAAAAAAAAAGTGCTATCTCAAATACAGTCTTCACAACAGATTTGGAAAGTTGTTTAATTCTAGCTATGTTGTACTGATGCAGCAAGCAGCTTCCAAAATGGTGGGTTCCTTACTCAAAGCAGTCTGCTGGCTGCTCTGTCACTTCCCAAGGTCCAACCGAGACTGCTGGCTACAGGAGGGAAGATAGCATCTCAGCAGGAATTCTGTACATCACGAACAATATCTTCAATGTGATCCAGAAGCACCCAGTGCTGATTCTGAAACACTGATGTCAGTGCTCTTGCTGAAATGTAGTAAACAGTGAGCATGGATTTGTTTGGGGAATGTAAGAATAATAGTGCACGTTAAATCCTGGTTAGAGGTCAGCATCCATAAAGTATCTGCTACAGGTTGCAGACTAAAAATAAATTGCTGAGATGCTTGAGAGCTATTTTTACTTTTTTCTGTGATGCTTATGAAGATGGTATCAAAGGTGCTGCGATGTCGCATAGGAAAGAAACAGCTGTGTTCTGTGAAGTCTATTATGTGCTTACTGTCTTCTACATTTTGTGGAAATACAAGCTTCTGACTTCTATTACTCTTCTCTTTGCATACTCTAGCCGGTTTTCCCTCTTCACAGAACACTTTCTCAGTTTCTTACAGAGCTGTGGTCTTTTTTCTTTTGGAAATATTTGTTTTTCTTGCTTTTTCCCCCCTAACATTTTTATTCTTCCTGTTGTCTGTCCTTTTGCAAACTAAAGGAGTCCGTTCTCACTTTTATTTCTCCCTTGTTTCTTTTGTTGCTGTTGTTTTTTAACTAAGCCCCTAAAGAAGTGGATGGGGAATGTATGTATGTGTCTGTCTCCTGTAAGTGTACACAACATTGACCTGTGGGCAATGCTGCAAGGTTGGTGGTTGCAGCCTTCTGCTGTATATTTAGACAGGATAATGGGGAGGAACATGAGGTTTTTGGTTTGTTCTGTGAGTCAACCATAACACAAGGCTGGACAGCTGCTGCCAGCCTTAGAAGAGCTGGGGATCTTGGAGCATGGGGAGGTACTTTGATGGAGGTACACCATCAAAACGTGTCCTGGACATGGCTACAAGGGAAGCCATTTTCTTCTCATCAGAGATTATTCAAAACCCATGTAGTAACTTTAACATGATGCAAATATGCCCGTTTTTCTTTGATATTGAAGGAGAGATGTCTGCTTTGTGCATTTCAAACCACTGGCCTAAATGCTCTTTTGATATGATTTCTCTTATTTGCATCTGAGCTGTAATTGCATTTCATCCTCTCAGCTGTGATTGTCTTAAAACTAGAAATTAAGTTCATTGGTACAGACAGCCCAGAGAGCTGTGGGAGCCCCATCCCTGGAAATGTTCAAGATCGAGTTGGATGGGGCTCTGGGCAACCTGACCTGGTGGGTGGCAGCCTTGCCCAAGGCAGGGGGTTGGATCTGGGTGGACATTAACGTCCCTTCAACTCAAACCATTCTGTGATTCTAAGATGTAAGAGTTTGGAAAAACCATAATCCTGTTTTTATTTGCTCTATGTAAGTTACACTGGATGCTGGAGGATTCCAGGCTGAAACTGTTTGCAGTTACAGTTAATCCTATGAACTTTCATTTAATTTACTGAAGATAGAAAACCCACTTTCAAATCAGGTTCTGCCATCATTTCCAAATGGGAAGAACTGAGAAATGAAAGAGAAACTTTCAGCACAGTGATAAGCTTCTCTTCTTATCTCAGTGCCGGTCCTTTGTTTTGCCAGCAATTGCATTTATCCTATAACATTTAGTCTGCTGCTTTTGTTGGTTCCTAAAGAGAACATCAGCTTTAGGCCAAGGTTTTGGAAATAGAACTTGAGTTTGGATATAGACAAAAATGCCACAGAAATGGAACAGTGATGTTTTTCATAAGGGACTTTTTTTTTTTAATTTACAATATTAGTAGTCAAATTTTATTTCATTTCCTGCTTTTCTGAACAGAATTGATTTCTAGCCGTGTCTAGCCAAGGGTATGACAGTAGGAAACAGACAAGCAGAATGTGAGTGGTCTGAGAATGGACCAAACAGGAAACTCAGTTCCTTACACAATGGGTTGATTTCACCAATAAATTAATGTTGTTACCGGACTTTCTTCTTACTTCCCACAGGTAAGGCAGAAGTGGGGAGGACCATACTGAAGAAGGCATTAAGACTCAGGCCAGGATTTAAGTATTTAATTTACTTAAGTCCTCCAAAATCTATATGATACAGTGCTGTCTAGGTGAAACAGAACTGCTTATTTTGTATGAGCTGTGCTTAAAATGATTTTATATGTCTGGTAATGTGTGCGTGAATAGAAGACGTGGCCAGTGAACTCTACTCTTTCTCTGATTAATGTTTAGCTTAATGATTGTTCCCAGAGAGAATGTGAGCTGTCAACCATCCATCTCAGCTATCTGGCATTGCAGCCTCCCATGGATGGCAAGCAGACATAGATCAGCAGTGTTGCCTGAGAAGTGTGGAAGGAACCCCTCCAGCTCTGCCTGGCTGCTTTGCTTTCACCTCGTGCTGCCTCCCTCCCCACTGCCAGCACA